AAAGTAAAATAAAAAATACTTTATCATTACTATTTAATAATAATATGTAGAATCTTAAACTTGACAATAAATAGAATATGCACATCCAAATCAAGATTGAATTTAAGGAAAGTAAAGTTACTCGATATTCTATCCACTATTAAATGAGGTACCATGAATCTATGTTTGACTTAAACATTTTTAATCGAAAAAATTTAGATAGAAATTGGTATTTGAACTCTATCCTACTTAAACCTATTTATATTCAATTGGGCCTCAAATTTGACCTACGAAAATTAAACATTTTTGTCTCCAAGTCTGCTACATAGATATATCAACATGCCACCATATATTTTCAAACCATACATACCTTAATGCTACACTTTCCCCTGTGATCCATTATAGCTATAATTTGGAAGCTTCGTTCTTTCTAAAATGCCTATTGCTACGATAATCCATCATCCTTTTCTTTATCAATTATTAATATTAGACTACCATTTAAGTTGTTCGTCTTGTTGCATTTATTGTGATTCACATGGGAAGGCCCACTTAGTCTTTAGGATCAACCCAAGATTTTCATGGGCATTTATGATTATCTTAGATCTCATCTACATCCACAAGGTTGAGTGATTCATTGATGTTCATGATTTGAATAAGTTAAATGGAGTTATCAGATTTTTTTTTTATCTTTTACTTTGTTTAAAAGTTCTGTTGATATCTTCATATGAGTTCGGCTAATACGGTTTTATTCAGCACAAGAAAAAATACAACAAAATATAAATAAAAAGGTTCGTAAAATCTAGCTTTGATATCTATTTAAAATAAGTGATTTTTTAAATTTATTTTTGATAGGAAATATTAGAGTCTCTTGACCAGTTTCCTCAAAATATTAACCAATGATGATCTATTAATTATTATGTCTAATTTAAAACCTAGAAACAATCAAATTATATTATATCTTCATATCATGACTTCGTAGTTGTTGGAATTAGCCCGTCATTAATTCCAGTGATTTGATATATGATTATTCTTCCTGCTTCAATGAGCTCATGGGCGGAACCATTATTTCAAGTACTATTTAGTTTATGTAATAACGTTCGACATCTCGCCAACTTGTCAATACCATAGTGTTTGATGGTAGAAAAGAACAATTTTGTAATGATGCAAAGGTTTCACCAACAAAAGCTTTTCAAATTCAGACAAAGCAGCCCAAAGACACACAAAATTTATTCAAGTACAAAACACAATTTATACTAACCATCTACTTGGTGAATTCCATGACCCAAGTATCCGCAAACACATGAGCATCTTTGAATCCCGGAAACCCAGCTTCTCTTGCCAAGTCCTTGAACTCCTCCTCACTTCTCTCTCTTCCTCCATTGGTGAGAACTATCAAGTAGAGGTCCAACTGGAAAACAGCTTGGGCTTTTGCAGTTGGCTCCGGCACTATTGGAAGTATGCATTCCACCACAATCACTTTCCCGTTTTCTGTCAATGCTTTCCAACAATTCTTCAATATCTTCACACAATCTTCATCACTCCAGTCATGAAGAACCCACTGTAACTTTGAACTTTTTCAGTGTTAGCTCCCAACATATATATGACAGAAATTTAATTTGATTGTATATGGTTCATTAATGAAGAATAGATACTACTTTTTAGCAGGATCGAAACTGAAATCCCTGATCAAGGTTTTCATTTTTAAACAAACCTTATGATCCTTTTCTTTTCTTTTCATTTTGACATCCGACTCTTTGTCTTCGGTGTAAAGAACGTTTATTCTCAATAAAGGCGGTTTGTTGTCGAATGAGTTGTCTCTTGTCATAATTTTTGAGGTGTAGGGTTCATCAGTCTCCTTCTTTTTCTCAAAAGTATTTTTTAAAAATAATATTCTATTTAATAAATATTTCTTAAAAGACAAAGTAATTACTTGGAGTATAAGTAATTCAAGTTAAAAAAATTATAGAAAAAAGCCCATTAAAATTAAATGTTGGTTGCATTATAAGTACCATGCATAACTAAGGTTTGAGACAGAGAAGAACCTTTTTTGTTGCTATTCATGCATGAGTGTGTATATATATATAATTCTGACATAGAAGAGAATCTAAATTTTTTTTCACGATGAATATAATTTCAATTTAGGCAAAACTAAGTAAATTTTGTGATATTATGTTCAGTCCTTTGCTTCTTACCAGAGGTCTCGCTCTAAAAAAATCATTATTAATATCAAATGTAGTTATTGATGAATAATTATTTTTTCTCTGTTCAATCATAAAATTACTAATAATATAATAAGAACAAGAAAAGGAGTAAAAAAGATTGCATTATACTTTCCAGTTTATAATGCCAATGAGTGCGGGGCGTCCAGTGATTAGAAGACATCACCTTCAAGAAGATGGCATCTCCGCTCGGAACAGCTTCAAACATGTCTCCGCTGATGTGCTCAACTCCTGCAACCAAACCATGCCATGAACGTATAAAATAATACTTCTTCCTAGCTAGGTTGCTGTTTATGATCAAAGAACATGATCATGACGAACGTGGCATGGGTTGAGCACCGGAGAAAACATGAGGCAGGTCATAGTTGATGCCCTTGATGTGCGGGTGCCTGGAGGTGATCATTTGGAGGGTTGCACCGTCATTGCCACCGACATCGACGAGCCCCTCCATGCCGTCGAAGCCACTGTAGACACGGAGTAGATTCTTGATGATGATGCTGGAGTGGCCCCTCATGCCCTCGTTGAACACCGTGCTGAACCTTGGATCAGAACTCATGTAATCGAACAGGAACATCCCGTGGGCAGTCTTCATAGGGATGCCACCCTCCAGGACCGAATCCTTCAAATGGTGCCTGAAATTGATTGTTTACAGTGTTTTGCTTTATGACTACTGAGCCTTAGCTGCTACCAATCAGTAGGAGAAAAGCTACAGTAAATGTGCCTAGAAGATCTCAAATCTATCCTCCTACTTCAAAATTACCATGTATCCACAAAGATCTTATCCTGCAGCAACAAAGCCAAAGCAGCCATGCACACACCATCCTCGTTCTTGGTCAGGTACTTGCAGATGGGAGCTGCGCCGTACTTCCTCGTTGGGCGGCCATCGGCTCCAGTTTGGACGGTGCAGCTGACGACAGTGTTGGCGGCGAGCAAGCGGAGCATTCGGTCCAGCATCGTGGCCTCCTGCGGGTTCTCGGTTGGCAGCCGGGCAACGATCTCAACCGGGCTCAACATGGCGCCCGGGCCGGCCTCGACGATGATGTCGAGTAGCCGCAGCTCGATAGCGGCCTTGAAGGTGAAGGGGAGAGCGCAGCTGGTCGCTAGCCGTAAGGCGCACGCGCCTGCCTCCTCCTCCGAGAGCGTCAGCTGCTGGATGTTCTTCGTGGATGCCATACTACTAGCTAGCTAGCTAGTTTGCAGAACGAGTGATGGTGGAGTACTATGAGATGTGGAGGAAGACTGGTTGAGCTTGGAGTGGTATAAGAGCGGGTTTCGATCCAGATTTATAGTGCGGAATTCCTCTCCTACAAAGAGGATTGTGTTCTTTTGATGTGGCACGTGTTGGGTGTGGAAATGCATTTGCTTTCAGACAACTGCACCACAGCAATCCGGAAATCGACCCCACCCCCACCTCTCTCTCTCTCTCTCTCTCT